CCTGCCCTGCCTCGCCCCTCACACACCCGCTAATCAGCCAGCGCAGCGGCGTGCTGCAGTTCCCCGGGCAACGGGGCTGTGCCAGCCGCTAGGGAGTGGGTGCACGGGTTGCCCTGCACGGTCCAGAATCTTCCGGAGGCTTCCCTTTGGAGGGGCGAGCAGAGGCAGCTGGGCCTGCAGCTGAACGTAGCCTCGTGGTAATGCAAATGGCGGGTTCCTTAGTCCTGCCTTTTAAGCCGCGGTTCTTAAAATGTTCACATGTAACAAGCCATTCCAGCCTGGGCTGAGCCACAAGGAGTCCTCACACCATGCCACTTTGTTTGCAAAATTGGTGCTTCTTCTCTAGAGGGAAATGAAGAACGAGCACAGATCTTAAAGAATGCCCCTCCCAGAGATTCTTTTCTAAGGGTATATACAATCTGGGGTAAGACTAGGTTAGACCAAGTGCACCTGCTTCAGAAGGGAAGGAAGTAACTCAAAGTACAGAACAGTTGTTTCTGGATCATGGGTTATTTTAAAACTTTCAAAAAAAAAATCAGCCTTTTCTTGCTTTCACTTACAATGTATCATTTTTAGCTCTAAGGAGGATCCCCATTTTGATCTCAGCCTGGGCTACATTGTAAAACCTCAAAAACCAAACCAAAACAAACCCTTAAGTGTAATAGACATTACAGAAAAGCACAATCCAGTTGCATTAGGACCCGAGTCAGTCAGCCTTATAGCTACCTCTTTCAGTGGCTGATGGAACAGCTGGCCTACTTAATACTTTATAGTAGACTAATTGCATAGAAAAAGTTTAAGAAAAAACCTGACTCTGCCATCAACATTTTTATTGGTTTTCTTCCTATTTATGATCATACCAACAAGCTTATCAACAAGCTGTGGATATGAACCTGTGTATTTTGTAGTTGGGAGCAGGTATGGCTGGCACCACTCTTGGTGAAAGTGCCAGCGGGTAAACATACCCACAGGTATATGCTGAATGTGTACCCAGGAGTGGAGAGGCTGAGTCAAACAGTATGTAAAACCAGTTTTGTTAGGTTCTGCCATCACCTTTCCAAATTGTCTAACCTCCAGCTACATATGAACATCCCTGCCACTCTGTGTGTTTTACCAACACTTATATTCCATCCTTTAATCTTTCTGGTAAAATGTGGTGGAACTGGAGTTGTTGAAGCTGTTACCAGCACTTGTAGTTCTTGCAGAGGACCCAGGTTTGATTCCCATTACCTGCATGGTGTTTCACAACCACCTGTGACTCTATCAGATACTGTGAGAGCCAAAGTTACATTTTAAGTTTTAATTATTATGCCGTAGAGATCCATGAAACAAAATGCCATTGATCAGCAATCCCCTTGCCCAAGGACAAATAGTTCCTGAAATGCTAGAGGCCACTGTTTATGGGAGACAACAAGCCACAAGTTTTTCAC